TGGCTGACCATATAGGTGACCCTTGCTAGTGAGCCTATGGAGAACTCACAAATCAAACACAGGCCATCGATTGCATTGAAGAGAGTAAATTTTCAATGGACTGTAGTGGCTCAAAGAGCATTTGAGTTAATCTAGTAGAAGTCAGTGAACACTAATGCTATTCTTCCCAATTTTTTCAAAGACTTCGGTTGCATTATGATGCTTCGAAAGTTGAAAAGGTGTGTTTTGAGCAAGTAAAGTCTTCTTTGGCATGTTTGAGTGAAAAGTTATTGGCTTAAATCCCGACATGTTCATCGGTCAAGTTTTGTCATAGCTTTTAGTCAAGAATTATGAAGATGGTCGATGCCAAAACTAATGCTAAAAGGTATACTGGCGCATCATCCAAAGGGAGAGTGAATCCATAAAGGATAAAAAAGGGTAGAGTTAGTATTAGGCAAGAGATATGGAAGTTTGCTTGTTCTTTGGATCCTTCTACAAGGGTTAACATTCTCGTGTCCTCACCAATTCTGAGAGTGGCGAGAGAGATGACTAAGTTAACCCTACGAATTTAGGAAAACCCGTCTAATACTATGTACTAAATATGTTCACAAAGTACATTCAAGTTTTAGATTGTGGAGACAACATATATGTTTAAAATGATGCATTGTCTATACGTCGATGAGATGTTTCATTAATGACAAGTTGAGTCTCAATGTACTAATGGGGAACCCTCCCATCCCAACCATTGCCGTACGTCGGAGGTTCCGTACCGCATACGTAATGATGGGAATATTATCAACACTTGCAATTATAGAGTACCATAAACCGAGTCATGTGTGCGTTAGTACAAAAAGTTATGGGACCACCTGACTTTAAATTGTTTCCTTGAGGTTTTTACTTAGTTCCTTTTTAGCTCCCATTTTTCATAATTTATTTTTTTTCAAATTTATTTTCATCCACACATTTTATCAATTTTATTTCATCCAAACTAAATGGGGGCTTTAAAAAAATTAGGATGAGAAGTGGTGGAGTTTTGAAAGCACTATGATTCTATAGATAGTAGAAAACAATCAAATTGTTTGGGCATGTGCATTAGGTGAATTTTCAGACAATATTATTAACCCAGACTGGACCGATCGGTTCGGTCCAGAAACAGCGAAATCACTCTCTTGTCCGATCCCGTGACTCAATTATTTCAACGTGCAATTAACTCATTATTAACCCACCTAAACATTCATCTAGACTCAACGATTCTTGACTTGATGAATCTTGATCTGCATGAATCTAAAATTATTATAAATGAATTTAGTTCTATTCATGTATCTAGAAATTTTAATGAGCGTTTAAATTAATTTATTAGCAATTATTTCTATGTACCAAATGTAGTAGAAAAAAAGTTGTTCATTTGTAGTATTTCGTCATCAAAAAAATTTTGAATCATAGAAGTTAAATTTTGAGAGTAAAATTTTCTTCTCTTAAGTTTCTATCATAAATTTTACTTTCTTAGTTCGTTTGAGACTCATCAAATACTACCAACAAATTGGTATCAAATATTATTTTTACAAAACTAATTTAGATTGTAGAAATTAAGTTTTGAAAGTACATTTTTCTTCTCTTAAATTTTTATCCTAAATTTTATTTTCTTTAATTCGTTTGAAACTTATCAAATACTCTCAACAAATTGGTATCAATTATTACTTTTAAAGCACTTCTAGACTATTTCAAAATAACGTGCAATGAACGTTCAAATATGACTAGTAAATTTAAAAATTGCTGTTGCTGACAGGCGATTGCAGTAACTTGGGATATATAAAATTGCTATGGTCCTTTAGTTTTCTTTTTTGATGATTTTTTTTTTCTTTAGGCTAATAATGGGTACTCTGTTGTGTTATGGGTAATGTATAAATGAAAAATGATGTTGCTAATGACATTTTTTTATAGCCTAATGCGGGATTTATAAGTTCGCAATGGTTATTGTTACGGGCCTGTATCAGACCCGCCATCTCATCCGCCACGTGTTAGTAGATGTGGTCCACACCACGTCACGCGTCGACCGAAGTGATTGCACATGGGACGAGCTGATTGTATATTCCGAAGTGATTACGTGAGGAACGAACTGAACACGCGTCAGCGAATGAATTTGACTCATCCGCAATTACACCGTGGATGTAAAGGTCCGCACTCCGCTTCTACAACGTTGCAACGTCTCTCATGCCTCGTCTCGCCCATCAAGGATCTCTTGTACAAAGATCTTTCCAAAATCAAATCCCTGACTGATGAGACGTGTGGCAGAACCCAACAGAGATATTCAATGACAGCCAACCTATGAAGGGGCGGATTGACACCTAGGATGGGATGAGCCTTGGGGATCTAGTAACACGTGTCTCCTCATCCGACGACTCTCATCTTCCCATTCTTAGTATAAATATTCCCTACTTGTGCCAGAAGAAAGATTCGATGGAAGATTTTCTCCTACTACATTGCAAATTTGAGTATCATCCTCTCCCTTAAATATTGGCACTTTTATCACTATACACTTTATCAACCACTTCCCGGCGATTGTTCTACCGCCGGCGAACCCTTTTTCTGGTTGAACTATAAATTGACTTGACCGTTAGAGTGCTCGCAACCGCTCCCAACCCTTCCGGAAAAGGCCATGGGTGACTAATTGCGTGTCACGTGTGCAGGGAAGAGCTTACTCGAATACTTATTTGTTGGCCACGTGTCGGAGCCATTTTTCGAGGTCAACCGTTATTATTTGATTTTCTTTCTTGATGAGCTTTTTGTTCTGGCTAATAATGGGATTACATTTGCTTATCTTCATAGCTCAAATTTTGGTCACTAGTTGTTGAATTTAATGTTGAAAATTAATTTTTCATATTATATGATCTAGTGTTTGTTGAATTCTTGTTGAACTTTGACATGAATTTAATGTGGAAAATTAATTTTTCATATTATATGATCTAGTGTTTGTTGAATTTTTTCATACAGGTTGTTCTTTAGTCACCAAAATAACACAAGTTAATTTCATTGGTGGTAAAAATGTCAGAATTTATTATAAAATAGAATTAGTTAATAAATATATTTGACATGAATTGACTCACCCATTGAACTACTGACTTGTTGACCCGCTGAATTGTCCGAGTATGTTTGGATTGAGTCTGACACTATGTTTTTAGACCACATCAATGGAGGAGTGTGGCCTAGAAATTTTATGGCAATAAATTTGGGTTATGTACGACTTTTTGAATTCATATTTTAAAAAAGTGGTTATATTGGAACTACCATTTTTCTATTTTATCAAGAAAATACATTTTGAAATAGTAAAAAGTTAGAGAATGTGTTGTTAAAAAATAAGGAAAAATTTTGGGTCTGCAAGTAAAATTATTTTATGGAAGAATGTATAGTTGAAAATTAATATTAAAAAAATGAATTTTGAGAATAATTAGACTCAAACAGGGGCTTTAAGTGTTGGCATTCATGATCTTCAAGCTTTGTTTTGTATTATTTATGCATTCAAAAGGAACATTTTTACCTATTCTGCCAAAATGTTCCATTTGAATGCTTTGGAATAGGGGGGAAAAAATTGTCCCATTTCGTATTTTTTATTTTTTAAAATATGATTAGAAATTAAGTCTTTTATGCTCTTCCAACGGACTTTTTGGGTGAACATCATTAGTGAAAATGAGATATGTTAATTAATGAAAAGTTAAAATATAAAAATTCGACCAAAAATATTAAGGACATAAGCTCATATTTGGTGTGGATTAAATTTTTTATAAAAATTGAAATCAAAATTAACAATTAATTTTAATAACACGTTTTATGGAAGGTACAAGTTTTTAACCATAAAAAGATTATTTTTAATTAAAATTTACTAAAAATATAATTTTTATTTAAATCAAACAAGGGCCAAGTGTATAATATGTTAATCTTGAGGACCTTGAATGAAATTAAAATGAAGTGCAATGAGTAAAAAGTAGCATGCACATATTTACCCTTTTAAAAATTCGTAAAAATATGTTTTGCAAACCTCAAAAATTTCAAGTTTATATTTTAATACTTGTTGCTATTTTATCTTATTAGCCCTTGTAATATCATCTGCACGTGGATTTCACAATCTCTAAGGTGGAAATCGAGCACGGCGACTAGTAAAATCAATGAGAAAAATTTGATAGAAGTCCTTCGTCAAATTAGTGGACGTTCGGTTATGGTCCATAACATGGAGGAATTGGCTCACCCGAGCAAGGCGCGCAGCGGTGGTTGCCGACAACATTGGGTAGAAAGGCAAGAGAAAGAGCAAGGAGCTTACTTACCGGTTTGTTGTGGGTGAATGCTATACGAAAGATTCTAGTTGAATGGTTATTTTTTATTTTTCACTTTTTTTCAACTAAAAACAAGAATTCATTGTTAGAGTTGAAGGGTTATGTAACATACACATGACGGTTTGTTATTTGCATATGCCACGTAACATACCCATCTCGAACCCTCCCCATGGCAAAATTCCCCACCCAGTTCGGGGTGGGGCTTTTTCTTTTTGCCATCCCTAGCCACTTAGGGTGCCCTTCGATAGTTTTCACTAAGAATAACATTATTTGAACAATTTCACTTAAATACCAACTACATATTAGCATTACACTGTTCCAAACTCTCAGTCCGGCAAACAAAAATTATTTCCAACTCCAAACAAATTACATAAATTTTCACTCAGAGACATGTAAAATCAAACCCACAAATCAACTGTGGCAAAATGTAATAGACCAGAATGTTAATCAAATGCTCGTTTTTAATAGTGCTACTAAAAGAATCAAAATTCAAACCCCCAATAGCCTATTCTCAACTCCCAGAAATATAAACCTAAACTTTTTTTTTTATAACTATCTTGTGAATAGCATTTACCTCGAATGACATAGGATATGGACGGGAAGCACTAAGCAGCTTTGAATTTGAGGAGAAATGAACCGATATCTCCTCCCTCCACAGGGCATTGGGGATATCCGGCAGCTGCTACTCTATTAATCCTAGCATCTAATCTCATATGAACCAGCTTTTGTAATGTAACGAACCCACTCAACAGTGTTGTACCCACTTTTTTCCCATACCTGCAGACAGACCGTAAGTGAATCTGCATTCCTATTGTGTGCAAGTACTAAATAATCTTCTCTAAAATATACGAGGTATATATACCTTGAGGAAACGAACACGCAATCCAGATGCTGTGAACATAGGAACCTGATCCAAAAATGGTGTCATTGTGTTTGTAAGGAGAAAAAACTACACAAAAAATATATTTCAAGTGACAGATGGCATCAAATTGTGAATCTTCAAAAGGGGAGTCATATTTCCACAATTTCCATCATCTGCCGAACTCTTTCAACCTTTCTTGATGTTATAATTGATACACAACATCAGTGGACCTCGTTAAAACATCACAAAACCAAGTGAATGATCTCTTTTATAACCTCCTTTTTAACGTGATACTTTCTCCTTTTGAAAATGGGGAAATGAAGTGGATTTAAACCTTTAAGATTTTACTAGCAAATGAAATGATTGAGCACCTGAAATTCCATCTGGATTGGTGGTCGAGTCCAAGACTTCTTCTCAGTAATTGTGGAAATTAACTCCACTTCAGCACTCAATGTTGGCTCAGTTTGTCCAGGAAATTTTCTTATCCTGCAAGGACCCCAATATAGAAAGATAAAATAAATAAGATGCAAATAGATGAAGCAACCCATAGAATAAACGGGTCTAAACTAGTGATGTTAATCCGGCCCGGCCCAAAAAAAAGCCAGAACCAGCTCGACTCGTGCCCACTGAGTCTTATTTTAGGGCAACAGCCCGAGCCTGAGCCGGCCCGTGTGGCTTGACAAGCCACCCCGGGCTGTCTTGTGTGACATACCAAAAATGGCCCGTCTCATAGGCCATTTTTGGCATGTGATTCTACATACAAGGTTTAAAAGGGCGAAAGAGGCGAGGCGTAAGCCTCGAGGCGGATTGAGGCTAAGCCTCACAAAAAACAAAAAATCTAAGTAAAAGAATTATAAAATAATACAAAAATACAAAAAAAAACCAAAGTTTTAGCATATTGTAAATAGGATATATAGTCGTTAGCATATTACTATATAGTCCACCTAAAGAAAGAAGATGTTTAACAAAAAAAAAGCATTACAGAAGTTAGAAATCACTCAATTTGCAATGGAAAAAAAGAAGCAGCTTAAACTAAAAAAAAAACCTAATAGCCTGCACTATCATCACTATTACTATCATCGTTAATGGAATCATCATCATATCTAATTTCCCCATCATCTTCCTCTTCGCTATTCTCAATTTCTACAAAAGGCAGTAGTGAGGCGCGCCTTGAGGCATGCGCCTCAGATTTAGAGGCGTGAGCCTCAAAAATACCGCCTCGAGGCATACTACATGCACCTCATAGTGAGGCGAGCCTTACTACTGCCTTTTTAAACCATGTCTACAAGCAGCTACTGTAGCTGCGTGCAAAATGCTGCAAGAGGCAGCTGTCGAACCAAGCCTCGATTTTTCATCCAAGCTTTGGCTCGGCTCGGGCCATAAAGCCGAGCCATTTTTCGCATGGGCCGTGCACGGAGTCTTGGCTACAAAAATCAGTCCACCTGTCAACACACATTGGACCCTCCAAAAATCAGGCCAAGATTTTCTTTTTGACCCATTCACCTAAAAACAAGATCATTCTTATATATGTATACGAACACATTAAAAATTGGAAAAGAATTAATTCGATCCCCAGCCACACCTCTTTGTCCATGTCTCTCTCTTAACACTTCACCATAGTGCACAACGCAACGCCACTACAAAGCCAGTGTATGATCATCACTTCTACCCACACCTTATATATGGGAAGGTACCTATCTTCATCTCTGTTTCTATCACATGCATACACAAAATAAAGAAAGATAGAATCCAAATTTATCACATTATTACACAAAAATTTAAAATCTTTTATCCAATTTTAGGGAACGGGTGGACCCAATTTAATGACGGTGGTTTTGGTATTTTTGGGGGGGATAGACGGTAATGATGGTCTGATGGCTCTAACTTTTCCTTTTCCTTTCTTTACTCAGGGCGTGTTCGGTCGTGCTTAAAATTCAATTAAAAGTGAAAATATAGCCGTTATTGGGTCCCACTCGTCTAATAAAAATCAACTATAATGGCTAATTTTTCAATTTTAATCCGATTTTAATCTCTACCGGACACGCCCTCAACCCTATTTTTTCAATTTTAATCCGATTTTAATCTCTATCGGACACGCCCTCAATTTTTTTTGGGGTCGAGAATGGTGAGGGATTCAGGTTAAAAATGGAGGTGGTGGTTGAAGTTGGGAGAGAGTTCTGGATCAGAGGTGCAGGGCGAGGATATCTTTTCCTGGGGAAAGGGGAATCAGTGCTTTTGATGTCACAAGAATGTAACGAGAGTTTCAACAAAAGGTGGACACTTAAAAGAACTTCAGAATATTCTAATATCAATATTCCGTTTCATTTGATTGTAGTGGTCCATGCCAGTCTGCCAGAATTAAAATGGCAAATTGAGGACCTTTGACACAGATCCTAAAACAATGACAACAAAATGTATTTAAAATAGTTAAAACTCTTTAAGTATGTAACATAACAAAAATCGAATAGTCATGGCATAGCTTCATCCAGATTTGCACATAATGATTGGTACTCTAGCATGAATATGATTTTTAAGCAATGGTATACCAAAATGCGAATCATTAAAAACCTCTGCATCAACTTTTGTTACATGTAGAGTATAAATGCATGACATCATTAATATTTTTTTCTGAATAACAAGAAGATATACTCTATTACGTTCCTTCATGACGGTGGTCTAATTGTAAGATTGTAAGGAAATGTTTTAAATTTCTTATATTTTTAGAACAGAAACATGCCACCTAAAGTCATTAGCTAAGATATTTGCTTTTACAACACTACATTCCCATTAAATTCAGCCGTTGAGTAGGAAAACAATATCGAGTGACGCATTTGTGCACATGACAAGATGTTGGAGTCTCAGTGCCTGCCTAAACGGCTCCGTGAGAACAAGATTAATTAAATTAAGCTGGGGATGAGAAATCATGAATGTAGATACACTTGCTTCAAGCATGCATGGCTCAATCAGACAGAAAACGAACATATAAATGATACATGTGCAGTGTTTGTAGAGGACAATAATTGAACATGTCACACTGGAATGGAACTAACTCCTCAGATGTGCAATGCTGAAAAATAATGTATCTAACACTTACTTCCAGACCAAACAGTCAATAGATGGATTGTACTTTGCTCGGCCAGATGTCACCTGAAAATTTGCTTTTGCTGTTTGTTTTGGTACTGGAATCTTGATAACCACGCCAAGTGCAAACATTTTTGCCCCAAACACACTTTTCACCTGAATGACGCATGACCAATTCAAACACGTGGTGTGTTGCATACAATAGTATGCACAAAAGATTAAGATGGCTAACCTTAACATTCACTTCCATGCGAGTTCTACCCAATTCCTTGATAGTTGGCAGTACCCTAAATGGTAGATTCACCCCTTCTGTAATACGATACCTGTAGGAAGGGTATTGTAGAAGTGCACTTGTGTAAAATGACATGCAGAATAGATAAACGTGTATACAGCATCAAATCAAACACCAAGACACATAACAGTCCGATATTAAATATGTTATAACATAGTAATTACACAGGTCTAATGAAACATAATGTCACAATAGCAATTGAGATGTATCTTTGAACAAAAAGCAACAGTGTCACTTCTTCCAAGAATGAGGCAGATTAGTAAATTTGTTCACAATTTCTCAAAGTGACATAGAAACAAAATTTCGTTAACATATGATTCCACGCTGTGCAGATTCAGAAACTATCAGCTAAGTTGAGTCATTGCGATCTCGATTATTTCGGCCAGAAAAAGTGATTGACAAAAATAGGATTTAACTACACGACACTATATTAATTTTGTTCTACCTCTCCACTGCTCTTACTATGTTCTATTCAGAATCTCAGATGCAAAAATAGTAGAAGAGCCATAATATCATGGAAAACAATGTTACATGACTGGCAAATGGTAGAGGCATGTTTTGTCATCACCAATATCCATTTGTTGTAGGGTCCAAATTCATGCAAAAGGTTACTTAAGAGCAAATATAAAATTCTTCTACAAGCAGAAACTTTAGATATTGGAAGTGATGTATCAAGGAATCTAAACTCCATATTCATTTCCTAAACATTCTTGGACTTGAAATTGAGACCAAGCATCATTACAATGAGCAACAGCCTTAATAACATATTCTCATGGAAAAAATCTAAAATTGTATTCTTTTTTGTAGCTAATGCTGACAAATTTAAAGAAACAAATTTGAATAAATAAGAATTGTTACATTGGACAAAATATTCACTTTTTTCTTACCTTCCACAAAAAAATCCTTCCCGCGACTGTTGATTAAGAAAGAAAAAGAACAATCAACTTACTTCATTAATTCGAATTCACCGTCAGGAGGAACAAAACTGACAGTTTTTTCTGAATTGAATCTTGTCAGATTTACACATTGATGAAATGTAACATCATCAAGCTCGATAGTTTTCCCACTGCACAATTAATATGGTAAAAAAGGTGAGGAATACTTTTTTGTCCAATTTGCACACTGATGGAAAGTAACATAATCAAGCTCAAAAGTTTTCTCAAGCACAAGTAACGTAGTATTTGATATTTTGTGGATTACTAGAAATTTCTCTAATACAAGAAAAATTTCTAGTAATTTCTGAGAACTAATATTAACTTACTGCTACATTGACTGTAGCCAAGGAGAACAAAGAAAAAAGATAGCAAATAGTAAAAACAACAAAGATAACAGTTGTATAAACCAGCTACCATTGGCTTCTCTATATATATCATAACAATCAAGTATATAAACCACACACAATCCTATTGTTGTCACCTAAAAAATAAAAATAACAGCCTTCAAAATGCACGAATTGATCATCTACCATAAGAGATATCCCTTTCCTTAGTAAAATAGCATGTCAGCAATCATAGGGATAAAATGATAGATATTAAGATAGGGGAGTTTAATTCTTGTGAACGCCACGGAAGATGATTAACACATTAGCTACAGCGCCAAGGATACAAAATTACAGAGAATTTCAACAACTATTTAGCATGGTGACTTGCTAAGTTTTATATGATTAACGTAACTTTTACATGGTGTACTACAATAGACCTGACTAAGCTAAAAAAGAAAAGAAGACAGGAAGATGTATAAAAGGACTGTGCTCAAACTCAAATAGAGTAGATCTCACTTTACCCAATAAAATAATAATATACAAATTTTCAAAGACAATGGGATGTCAACGAGACGGGTCGGGGCAACCTCCCCTGCCCCCCACCCCGCCGGGTAATTTCCCTCCCCGTTACCTGTTTTAAGGCAAGGCAAGGCGGGGCGGGGCGGGCCGGGGCCCTTGCCCCGTTTACTACTCGTTTAATTTTTTTTATAATTCATTTTATTACTCCCATTCATTAAAGTGAGACAATAATATATTTATTTATTTTTTATTTATTTTTAAAAGTTAAATTATTCAAATATTATTTGATAAACTAAGATTTTTATTGTTTGTCATATTTCTTAAATAATCTTAATTGTCATTTACTATTAGAACTAATGAAATTTCGTTGAGTTTTCCATTGAAAGTATTGAATTCTTAATATATATAAAAAAAAAAATTAAATTCAATGAGGCAGGGTGAAGTCTTCGTCCCCGACCCGAATACCGATTAAGTGGGTAATCTCCGACCCGTTCGGGACAGGGTCCCACAAGTATCGGGTTTGACGGATTTTTTTGTCATCCCTAACAATCATCACGATGAACATCAGTTGATGTGTGTTTGAAGAGATCAAGGAAAAACAACTTTCAGAACATTAGGATTCCAGCTGAGATGATTTCTTACGCACTGACAACATCAGTGCACATAAAAGTTAATACCTATGGGTTGGACAAGTGGCAGTTTAGTTTCACTGAATTTTATCAATATTTGTACATATATCCTCACAAAGAGCAACAAGGACTGAACTGAAGTAGATATAAAAAAGCATGGTGGCAAAGATTGCCCTTGTTTCTTTCCTTATTTCTTAATAAAAAAGGACCACTATATTCCTGTAAGATTATTGACATGCCATTTTGTCAAAAAAAAAATTACTTTTTCTTTGACCATTCTATCAGTTCAGTAATTTGATATCTTTAACAGATGACTATATGGAAGCTACCTTTTAGTAGGGCGGGACTTGATCTGCGACTCTTTCTCAAGGCCAATTTTATCATTTAAACCCAACTTCAAATCGGGCATTCCAGAAAGAAAGCACTTCATAAGGATCTTCCCAGTTACATCGCAACGTAGAACGCTACCTAAATTAGCAAATTGTAAGTCAGAAACAAGAGCAAAAATGAACAATGGATGTGCAATCACTATAAAATGCTGTCCTCAACTCTCAGGTAGAAAATGAGAAACAAGAGAAAAATTGCATCAAGCACAAATGATCACCATAAATAATTATTTACCTTTGGAAGACATAAGAAGATTAACACTTTCAACAATATCAAGAAATACCTGTTGACAAATATAAGTTAATCCAGTATAATTGCAGTGATTAAAACATGAGAAAATAATGGTATCAGAGAGGAGATCCAACCTCATTCTTCTTATAAACAAGGCCTTCCCTGCGCCAGCCAACAGCACCAGTAACTTGTAAAGTAGCATTTGGAGCAGGTCTGTCTACAGGCTGTTTGGTTGTTCACAAGGCATAGAGTGTTACAATAATCATCATGAAATTTACATATTAGTAGCATTTATCACTTCACAAGGCATAAGATTTTCCATTTAGTTATAAACTAGTATCATAGATCTCTTCAAATCATTATTTCCTTATTATTGTTCTTCCAAAGAAAAGGGTGAGATATGTTGCACATCTAACCTTAGACGAAAATGGAGAGCGTACACCTTCCTGGGTAATGTAAAGCTTCAAGATTTCAGGTGAAAGGTTTTGAGGGTAACCAAAATCCAATATCTCTGTAATTCATAGGAAAATGTCAGTCAACCATCCAAAGTTTTGGTCACTCTGTACGGTATAGACCTTCTCTTTCCAGTTCTTGGTCTGGGAAGGGAGGGACCTTGTTAAGGTTCAAGTGAATGCAAGTGTTAAGTAACTCAATAGAGAAAATAGTGTACTTCATACTCAAAAAATAGGCCATACTAAGACGCTCAACCTCAGAAGATTTTATTGCATGGAATAAACTCATTGTTCATGCGTGATCCTGTATGTGTACATCACAAGCATATTGCATCCAATAATGCTAAAATATGCACCAAAAATAAAGGCAGAAAAAGCTAGAGCAAAGAGATAAGAAGCCAAGTGTAAATATTTTTCAGTAAATATGACTATCCTTAGTACTTTGATCAATAAAGATATTCTGTTTTATTTTATTGGACATGCAACATTAAATATTGAAACTGATTCTTTTGTTAAGAAAAGAGGGAACTAGACAAGTTGCATTTGTGTCAGAAATAGAAGTTAAACACAAAAGTGAAAAATTAATTTCTAAAAGGGAACATCTAATTATACTTTACGGGGGGCATACCATCAAGAAGTTCGTATATTAAAACAAAATTATTGCGGATAGCATCCTCATCAAAGGCCCCACCAAAGTAAGATTTAAATAATGAAACTGCCTGCAAGGAAAATAGACAGAATGATTAAAGAAAATGAGAAAAACACATACAAATAAATTTTATTCCTACGCCTCATCTATAAAAGACACATGTTATGTTCCCAGCAATAAGCATATCTTCACAGTGAAAATGAGCTAAAAAGTAAGGATTTAATGTTGATACTAGTCAGAGACTTGAATTGTCAATTTTCAGCAATAATTTTAAAGGGCAGAACACATTGCGCCAAAATTTAGGCACTGGAAACTAATGGGAGACAAATACAAGCTTTTTCCCCCATTGAAATATTATAATCTCAAAAGTCAAAACTATCAAAAGCACCTTGGGCTTCTGTTCACTCATTCTCAATCAATTGGTTCTGACATGCTTACTTCAACATAATAATGGAGGTAGAATTGGACGGGGGGAATAGTTAAACAAGTCTCATTTATGTTTGAGCAGTTTTTGCATGTTATTCTTGGTTTTATAGTAGTTTCTCTTGATTCCAGATTCACGATTGTACCAAAGTGCACTATTTAATTGAACAAATTGCCTGCGTGTATATGTTAACGTGCAGGGGATTATTGGAGATTGTTCATGTCAAAATTAAATAACTCCAAAACTAGCAAATCAAAATAGCCGGCTCCACTGATTGCAAATTACATTTGAGATAGAAGGTTTAACTAATAGTAGGGAATAAAGTAGTTGATGTTTGTGGCATGATCAAATTCTTAATTTGCCTCCTAAAAAATTGCTCTGCTGATATCCCAAAAGCACATAGTTCAACATCTAACTTGCAAATGAAAGTTCAAGTCTCTTATGCCCCAATGATACCTCAACAACAAACTTGAATGCACAGGCAACATTTGCATTACTGCTGACAACAATCACGATGTAGACATTGCTAACTCTCATATAAAAGAAAGAGCAGCCTCCAATCTGCCGCACAGGACACACGCCAAGTTCTTTCGTTTGCATTATATGCGTTCTGAAAGCATCCACCATGTTGCCCCTAATTAATTTGAAAATCAAAAGTAATTAATCCCACAAAGCTTTATGTCATAGAAAGATTTATGTTAAACAAGTGACATAAAATGAAGCCTTAAATCAAACTCAATGTAACAATTATAGCCTGTGAAGCAAGGATGCTCATGTGGTGGAGTGTTCATGTCTGACATGTGTTAGACACTTGGATATAACTGACACACCACATGACCTATGCAATTTTTATATATTTTTAAAATTTTTGACTTAAGAGGGACAGGACCGCTTCATGCCATGTAGTATGTCCAATATATTTATTTTTGAATCCTTTTTGTCTACTATGTTCGGTTAGTTGCTACATATACAGGAAGATCTAAATACAAGTACGCAACTAGATCTTTAGCAACCACAGACAATCGTGTTAGATTGGTTTATGCCCACCCATCTAACCTACACAGTACATGTCCCAACCACTTATGTTATCAGTCGTTTAATTTATCCATGATTGATACCACATCCGGTTATTGACATACAATCTCGTTCCTTATCTTCTATACTCTAGTATGGTCACACATGCATCTTAGCATCCTCATTCTGCAACATTCATAGTATGATATTTTGTCTATTAGGAAGCTAAACACTCAGCAACCCATCAAGTCTAATATCTATTCTGTGGAAGTAGTGCTTAGTTACGAAGTTCTTTCTATCACATGGAATTCCTATAGATTTATCCATTTCATACAATATGATTCAATCATATGCATTACATCCTCTTCAATTCATCCTTTATTAGAATAATTGAATATAGATATTTAAAACAACTACTCCTTGGGACAAGACCATCATTTACAGATCCCAATATAAAGTGATCCATGCAATGATATATTTTTAGAATCAGCCTTTTGTTCAAAATAACTAATAATTTATTTGTCAAGTTCTTAAAGGCTATTGCTTGAACCTCTAGAAAGAACTAATAAGCTCTCATTTATGACCTTAGCCACACGGGATTATTAATCATCTTACAATGTTGAAGGTTCATAGCATCTTTCTATCTTTCCTTTCATTTTGACAATTGAAGAAAGGGGCCTGATGTTACTATAACTTCCAGACCCGACTTAGAGTGCCTGAGTCCCCAGCCACACGAGCATCACAGATTCTGGTTTCGTCTTGATCCCCGATGTGGACACTTATGACTCGGTCCCACTTCATCTCAGTGACCCAACCCAGTACGGATCCACCATGTCTCCTACATTCTGATCCCAACGGGGGTCCTAAGGTCAAAAGTTCAATCTTATCTGGTCTACTCATTATCTTACTTTTGTTTCAATCATTGTAGGATTATACCTCCTACACTCATTATCCCTAATTCATTATTGGCGTACATTTTCATTATTGGTCATTTTATAGCCTCATGCTTATATTTTTCTCCATCGGGTCATCCCAGATATGATTTCTGGTAGCACCGGGGCCTAAAAATGTTTGTACCTTTAGCAATGTTTATTCTTTTCACGAACAATGAAATTGAACTACAAACAAAAGAACAAAAAACCAGATTTTCTTTTACGACCAAATATTACGTGAAACAAACACACGTTTAGTCCATGGACTTTTTTCATAGTTCTTACGCTTTGTTTTCTATCTCAGAAAAAAGGGAGGCATACCCAAAAAAAACATTCAACCCCTTGCTCCATAAATTTCACAGTACTCGGATTTAACATCATTCGATCACGCGGCTTCATTTAACCTCACCACAATAACTCGTCTCAATTGTGTGCGTCAGTGCGTGTAGAGAAATAGAGAGGAGGTGAAGGGAGAAAAGGAAAAGGGGGCTGACCCGACATCGTCACGGTAGAGGCGATTGATAAGGACATCGCCACGAAGATTGAGAAAGTATATAGCAGAAGCTGCCACCGGCATGCCGACGGACTCAGTGGTTCCGATTAGGTATATACGAGATTCCGAGAGAGCTTTGATCCAGTCAAATCAGAAGGGTAGCAGTGTAATGTGCAGGTTTGAAAATGGACAAGAATGTTATATGACTAATGAATGATGTTAAGAAGTCAAAATTTGTTGCCCTATCTTTTCCATTTTGAATCTTATAAGTTTACCCATGTTTTCGAGAAGGGTTATTGGCGTAAAACGTCTCTACCTATGGAGGTTCTTGCGGAAAACGTCCCTACCTTTCATTTTTTGGTGCAGAACGTCCCTACCTTTCACATTTTCTGTGCAAAACGTCATTTTTACCAATTTTTAACGTTAATTGACAATTATACCCTCCTATATAAATAAAACAAAAGATAAAAGAAAAGAAAAATAAAGAATAAATTGTAATCTACTCCCGAATTTTTTTAAAAATACAAATCAATCCAAAACTTATAAAAATTAACAAAAACTCTCCCTTTCTCTTCTCCTCCACCCCCTCCGCCTTCTACACCCCGCCGCCAAAATTACTTTTCCAAAAATAATTCTTCCTAATCGAACAAAAATCGTAATCAAAACCCATAAGAAAAATTCAAAATAAACATAACTGAATATCCACGCACACACATAATCAGGCATAAACCAAAGGAAAGTACCGAGATTTCAAGACCAAACCAAGAATATTTGAGGATTGAATTGAGAACCCATGTTGGAAAAATGTGGACTTGGAGGACCCAACGTTGGATGAAGCTTTTAGAAAAGGTATAAAAGAAGAATATGAGCTTGAGTGCAGTTTGGCTTGTGTAAACATATGCAAAGGTGCTGAGTAAACTGAAGAAAAAGTCATGGAAGCCATTTTTGAAAACTGTGTAAATGGGTTTTAAGAATTGGGTTTACAGGGACGTAGAAATGCCTTCAAATTGGGATGAGATTGAATCTGAATTAAACTATTTGTTGGTGATATGGAACCATGAAATTGCTCACCTTAAGTAGTATTAGAAGCCTGTAATGGAGTTTGGTCATGGGTGTTGAAGTGTTGGCCAGAATTGATGTTTAAACAGTGCGTGAGGTCGTGTTTTTGAGCTGGGATTTCATCTTATTATTGGATCTGTTATGGCCGATTTTTAGTATGGGATTGTAGAGTGGGATGAGGAGATGTTGGTGGTGTGGAAATCCGGTGGTTTTTCCGGCGGTATGGCGGTCGAATTTAGAGAAGCAGCCGGCTCAAGCTGCCAGTTCCTTCGCAGGGGTCAAATTTGGGGACGGGGGCTTCCCCTGCAATTTATTAAATTGTGGGGACCCTCATGCAATTATGGGTTTAAGGTAAAGTTATAATTTTTTAAAAAATGTGAAGTTTGGCGGGCTATTTGCGCTTTTTAAAAAATTTGGGTCTATACTTACAATTTATTCTTTATTTTTCTTTTCTTTTATCTTTTGTTTTATTTATATAAGAGGGTATAATGGTCAATTAACGTTAAAAATTGGTAAAAATGACGTTTTGCACAGAAAATGTGAAAGGTAGGGACGTTTTGCACCAAAAAATGAAAGGTATGGACGTTTTCCGCAAGCACCTCCATAGGTAGGGACGTTTTGCGCCAATAACCCTTTCGAAAATAGTTTTCGACGTTTTACAAAATTGAAAATTGAAAATTGAAAACAGCTTGAAAACGTATCCTTACTTTTTCCCAGGTTCTCTACTTCCATTTGTCATTCTTGGACATGAAGTATTGTTACACTGATGCAATTAATCCAAAACTTTTACTGTAATTATTATAATTATATCCAATCAAGTTAATCCGAGGCTTCCACTATGAATGATAAACTGAACTTGTAAACCATATAAAAATCACAAACTAGTTAAAATATTTGTTTGTTAATTCATATCCTTTTGACTCGTCATCTATAAGTATTATCCTCGTCGGAAGTTGAATAATTAGATTAGGGCCAAAAAAATGTTTTGCCCTTCTAATTATTTTCTCACTCACGACTTGTATTTGTCTAAACAGTCTTTTTATGATATGATCACAAAATAATGATTCAGGCATTTCCAAATACTGAACTTATATTAAATTGTTCTCTAAGGAAAATACCCAAGTGAACTCATTTATTTGTCGAACAAGGGGATTGATTTTGTATGTGAATACCAGTGTTCTAAAATTCTCGCAAATGCACCGCCTAGGCATGATTCTTGTAGAAAACGCGTCAAAACGGGCAATGCGCGGAAAAATGCGGTCAACGGGTTTTGTTGACCGCCTAGGCGCGCATCAGGCACGCCTAAACGCGCATTGAGACGCCTAGGCGCGCATCAGGCGCCTGATTTTTTTTTTTGATATAAATTTTTTTTAATATAAAAATTTATTTATTATACTTAAAATAATATTAAAAGTACGAAACGCATTATGATGCCTATTCTCCGCATTGACACGCTTAAACTTGTGATTCTTGATTCTCGACCTCGATGCATCGCAACGCATTACACATTTTAGAACACTGGCGAATACTACTTCTATTCCTATCAGTTCCTAACATTTTGAGATATTGATCAGCACCGAATTACTCATTGATGTATCAAAGAATCTTGAGTTCACGAATACCAACCACCATCCCTAACGAACTTAAGTAATATATGAAGATAGTCACGCATGATTCATTTTGTTAGCACGACCCGCTATAAATTAATTAATATTTTCTTGGTCCAGTCTAATACACATCCAGGTACATTAGCATCATTATTTTTGAACAGACGATCGTCACAATCAACACAAATTGCATACCTCAATTGATAGAGTAACTAACTTTTCGGTCTAAATAGAGTGCCAACATCTATAAGTCAGTCCATGACAACTTATTCTCGCTCAAAATATAAGTTATATCTTATGTATTTTCTCCATGCAATTACATAAATTATATTATCATAAAGATCATTCATCACTTAATCAATTATGTAGTAAACAATTAACTCAAAATAAATCAAAAATATGATATTAATAAAACAAAACAAAAAGTTATAAATTACAATTATATCGTAATAATATGGAGCACCAATTCCAACCATTTCTCACTTGCCAAACAAGTATTTGGTAAGCTCTTGGTAATTGAATCAACAAGGTTTTTGTTCTGAAGCAATCTCGTAGATGACCATATCCTCTCTCTCTCTGAATATGGTGTTTTCGTTTTGAACTATGCTGCACGAAGATGACCATAATATCTCTCTCTCAGTCTCTCTCTCTCTCTCTCTCTCTGAATATGGTATTTTCGTTTTGAACTATGATGCACGAACATAAGAAATGACATAGGGGATGACCGAACACATGCACCTCGGGGTCGGGCATTATTTTATTTACGCAGGACCCATGCGCAATGTGAAGGTCGGTCACCCGAGATGTCAACTATTTCGGGTAAAGTGGCTTTACTCTTTCGTTCTATGTGTTTTCCTCTTTAAGCACCTCTTGGTTCAATTGTATTAGCCGCTTCCCTACCATTATCATAGTATAACAATTTATTGTGCTGACACTGGGTGCCATCTATAAATTTGCAAGGAATTTTCTAAGCTAGACGGCATCTTTTGCTGCTTTACATCACAAGTTGTCATGTATTCGACTCCATGATGGAATCTGCAATACATGATTGCTTGATGCTCCTCTAAATCATAGCTCCGCCACGAGTATAAGCATGGATCCTAATGTAGACTTTCTAGAGTTCTTGTCCGATTGAAAATCATAGTTAGTGTACCCTATAGGAGCCAACCCTGGCGCTATGTACATAAACATATGGCAATTCATTCTCCAAAGGTAGTTGAATATATGTTTACCGTTACCCAATGTTTTGGTCTTGGTTTTGATTGACGACTTGCCATCTCAACAGCATGACAAATATATGATCTAGTGCATAGCATGACATACACGAGATTGTCCATAGCTGATGCATAGGGAACCTGTCTAATATGCGATACTTCATTAGGAGTTTTAGACACTATTCCTTTTAGAGGTGGACTCCATGCTGAGAGGGTAGATAGCCTTTCTTAGAATCGTGCATTGCAAACTTGATCAATATCTGCATATGTATGAAACATGCGATAAAGCTATCTATCTATTTTTCGATCTCGCAAGATCTAAATGTCTAAAATATAGCTACTACTAGCTTCATCAAAGTCATTCATTTGAAACTGTTGGACTAATCACGCTTTCGATGATGATACGTCACATCATTCCCATTGAATAATATGTGATCTACATAATATTTTAGGAAAAACTATGCTATTATCTTATTTCTTTTTCGGAAAGAGAGATCATTGAAGTTCTGATCACATTATTCTGCAATTTCTTTAACCCATGTTCAATAGAGTTATCTTTTTGTTGTATGTTTTTCCGTCACATCCTTGTACACTCTTTGTAGTTTGATTTTCAACTTGAATATTCGGTTATTTATCATAAGTTTTGTTAAAAGTTAGAAATTGACGTTATTAACCAATGGTCATTAAAGGATAAATCTATATCAATTATAAATGTATTAATAAACTTGACCTTTGAATATAGAATTTCAAAACTTAGAGCATATCTGGGAGCAAGATTTCAACCCAAATAATTGATTTTTGAACTGTTGAAGAGGAAGAGTAGCAGCCATTGTTGACTGGCTGTGTCACAGGTGGGCCCATACTTTGAAAAAAAGGGCCATATTTCTGATGAAAATCTGATGGAAAGCCCCTCCAGACACACTCTTAGTTTGGTAATTTAAGACACAATCAACAATTAATTTTAATAACATATTTTATGAGACCTACAATTTTTCAACCATACATTTCATCAAATTTTATTAAAATTTAATAAAAGTCTGATTTTAATCCCGACTTAATATTAGAACTCATTGTAAACCACCATCATAGGATAAGCACTGTTTGTCATCATTTAAAATTTAAAATTGTTTGTTACAATGCCATTCTCCACCACACATTCACATAATAAAATATTCTACACACAAATCAATAAAATTTTCTTACT